CCCTCCCTCCCTCCCTCCCTCCCTCTAGTTCTGGTCAATCCACGATTAAGCCAGCCAGCTAGGGTGGTGTTCTCAGATGTGTGTCGGTCAATCGGCAAGTGAGCCCCGATCAATGGGCACGGGAACAAATTGATAAATGCAGAATGAAATCATTTCCACCGGTAACTTGTCTTTTATCTGCAATGAGAGCACTGGTTTGGAAGTGTAGGTCAGCGACAATAAATTTCTGACTGTAGTCTGGACACGCCTGCTTATCATTTCACCGATGGTTAGAAACACTGAGTGATATGGCTGGGTGGCGTAAACAGTGGCGCTCGTGCATTCACTCATTATTTCCCTAACACCATTCTATATGAATTCTCCATCTTCCGCTTGAATTTGCTTTCAGCATTCCAATTTTCATTCTGCTCTTTTATCCAAAATGGGGTACCAAACGATAGCAACCAAAACCGACGCACGAAAGTGCATAGTTAATGGTTGTAAGAACTGAACTGAACTGCTTATCATTTCAGATAATATGTCATATTTTGAAGAGAATCGACAAGTAAACTGGTTTCTTTTTGAATGTCATCTCAGGTTGCACTTGTGTGGTGTCTTTCATGCTTTATTAAATGATCCTATCTGGATGTCCATTTTCTGTGCAAATCGTTCTGATTTTTTCTCTCAGTTCTTCCTCACACGAATCAGGCGATCATATTCGTTTTGTCTTATTCACCATGTATCGAATCAATGCCCCTTTTTTCGCTGTAGAGATACAACACTGTGACAATCTATGTACTGCCCAATCCAAGTCTGCTTTCGACTAAATGCTACGTGGACAGCACGAGGAACACCAACTCTTCGGAAGAGTGCATTTCTAGCGTGAATCCTATATTTTTATGGGCTATATTAAATTAGTCCAACAGAGCAGTGGTACTCACGGAGGACTACACAGTGCCGATATACCACAGGTTTTGGGACAATCCAGTACTTCAGTTTCCAATTTCGCCAAAAACTATATCGGTTAA